TCCATCCGCAATGTTATTGAGCGATCATTTGGAGTGCTAAAAATGAAATGGCAGATTCTATATAAAATGACGTCCTACCCGATGTTCAAGCAAAAAAATGATTGTTGTGGCTACTATGGTCCTTCACAACTTCATTCGTGAGCATGGCGGTGAAGACTTGGACTTCGCTCGGTGCGACCGTGATCCAAATTATGTTCCAGAGATTCCGAAAAGGTACCTAAAATATGTGGCTAGATCAAATGGCTCTACTGATGCATCGAATGCTCCTACTATGGACAAATTCCGTGATAACTTGACCACAGCTCTTTCTCTAGCTTGGAACTAGAATTATGTATTAGTCACTATTCTCTAGTTATCTATGGACAACTATTTCTATTAGAATGATGGACTTTGTTATCTTATTTTATCATTAGTCATGTATGGACAATTATTTGTATCCGAAATATGAACTTTGTCAATTATCCATCAAACGCTTTGAAATTTACATGACAAAAGTATGGAATTATTTAGCCGAAATATTTGTTTTTTACTTTTCTCCAATAAATTAAATGAGATTATAATATTTACACCATATTTGAATTGGTAAAAAAAATATTCAATTACACATGCTCTGCATACAACATAACATACACCAAACATCGATCATGGGCATAGTAGACATTTCCTATAGAAACCTCATGTTTCCAGAGCTGGAGCTAAACTGCGTGCCAAACAGGTACACTTGCTCCAGAAACTCCACAGTGGAGCTGCTCTGTGGTGGAGTTGGTGGAGCAGAGCTGAAAAAAGTGGAGCAGAGTAGTCCCAAACAGGCCCTTAGTCTATATAAGAATTTTATCCGCCCGAAAGCCCGGAATGATTCTTGGCGTGATATGCCCTAATCGAACGAGGCCTAATACTATAACAAAGACGATGAATTATCATGAGTTGCAGTGACACGAATTAAAATTGACCAAGTTACAATGCGGCACACAATGCCATATAATGTTAGTGAAATGATATATGCGTCATACATTTTCAGTCAGCGGGTTCTAAAAAATTTCAGGTAATTCAAGCGCCGATGCAAGTCTGCAGCATATCGGGGATCACCTCCAGCAGGTACGTGAGCAATCCACCTAGCAGGAAGAGAGACACAAACACGAGCACGATCTTGGCGACGTAGATGCAAGTGCCACTTATTGTCTCCGTATCAACGGTATCTTCTTTGGATAGCTGCCTGTCACCCTGTTTCTGCAATTAACAATCCACACAAGATGATCCCTCGAAAAAAGGATTATCTAGTCTGTATTCGTTTGTTTTGGAGCCAAACAATGACTGATTGTTGGAGCCGGCCAAAACAACCAAAATGAAATGGAGGAAAAAAAAATCGAACCGGACAAAATTGGTATGGTGTTGCGATCTCTAATTGATATGGACGTTACAACCCTAACTAATATGCACCAGTATGGAGGACCTATGTTTGCAAATTCTAAAAGTTGCAACTAGATCGAACTGTAGGACAAAGCCCATACACCTAAACGATTATACTTGGACTGGTGTGAGGGCGGGATAAATAAAAGATACAAACAGGGGAAGGAAAGCAAACCATAATCACAACCTCATGGAGCAAATAAACATGACAAGGGTTTTCGAAAAAAATAAACATGACAAGCTGCAAACTAGGTAGAGAATCCTAACCAAAATCCCTACGCAACAACCTTTAAACACTAGCTTCAAACTAGGGGCAAAAACACTAGGAGAAATAAATAAACCTAGAAAAAAAACCCTATAACCAACAAAACTAAAGCCCTAAACAATAAACTAGAGCTGCAACCCTAATCACAACCATGTTAGCAACCTGTAAACACAAATTGCAAGCTGAGGGAGTAAAAATGCCATAAATTGAAGGCCATACAATATATAGTGGGCAAAATCCTACGCCTCTAAATGTTGCTTTCTAGAGTGGTCAGAGGGGTGCAGGGGCAGAGCCAGGATCCATAGATAGGGGGAGGGCGCTCGTCAAGGCATCAAGCCTAAAAAAGATTCATGGAACGATGAAAAGAAAATATGAAGTATATATATAAATATAATTACATATTACATATACGAAGATATAAATATGAAGTATATATATATAAATACAATATGAATATATAGTCCTTCCGTCTAAGAAAGAATGCAATTCTCGTTTTTCGAGAAGTCAAACAGTTTGACTTTGACTAAATTTATATAAAAAATTACTATCATTCATGATATAAAATAATTATCATTAGATTAATTATAGAATATATTTTTATAATAATTTTTGTTTGGAGACATAAATGCTAATATTATTAATTATAAACTCAGGTCAAACTTGAGTTACTTTAACCGGTACGGATCCCATAATTACATTCTTTCCCGGACGGAGGGAGTATATGCCAACTTGTCAATGGCGCCTCGAGAAAGGAACGCAGCGACGAGTGAAATTTACTGGAGGAAAGAAATTTGGAGCGCGTAAGATCAAGTAATTTTGAAGCACAGGAGGAAATAATTTTTTGGGTGAGATTTTAGCTGCAATATCACAGAAGAATTTTTCGTACAAGAGGAAAAGGCGCGGGAGGAAAAGAAGCAACACCTCGATGCGCCTGCATGCATCCAATCAAACGGGTGAAAGTAACGGAAGGCTCGAGGAGACGAAACCTCACTGCATGCGTCCATGCAAATTTCGTCAAGGCCATCCGTAGATTCAAGGCGGTACCTGTGTTTCTGGACGGAGTAATTAAGTAATTACCAGTGACTAACGGTGATTAAGAGGCATATCTAATGAAGACCGTGAAACATTAGGGGGGAATGCTCTGAATTTTGGGGCACATAATAATATATAGTGGAAAAAACATATACCTTTATTTGAGGGTATAAATGTTGTAAATTAGAGGCATGCAAAATATAGTAGACGGGACTTTATGCTCCTAAATCCGACGGTGACTAATTCGCGTGTCAGAGGCGTCTAAAACAACCGAATGTGATTTAGCTTTTCTAAATAAAAAAAAGTCCACACAAAATTAATGCCTAGTTCTTGATTCTTGAAGAAAAATCGAACTTATTCAAGACAGATGCAGGTGAGGAGGTCAGAACAAGTCGTGGCATACCGTGTCCGAGTGCGGCGCGTGATGGATCCTGGGCGCGTCCTGCATGGTGACGGTCTGCAGCCTCCAGCCGCGGCCGTAGTTGGCGAGGGCGGCACTGGGGCCGAAGCTGAAGGGCTCTTCGTCGTCCCTAGCGGCCTCGACGTGCAGCGCTGGCGGGGCCCTGGGGTTGAGCTTGCGGTTGATGGCGTGCAGCGCGTAGTGGGCCGTCGTCCCCGCCGCGAACCGCCGGACCTTGCCGGAGCTCCTGCACGTCACCTCCAAGAACTGCCAAGCGGCAAGCAGGCGACAAGCGCGTCAGCTCAACGCTTTTTGAGTTGCTCGGTCGGAGATTTGCAATTCTGAATTTCTGCGGGATGAAGATCAATAAGAAGGTTTGTGGGGCTCTCTGCAGCAGGAGGAGAGCGGGTCTTACCGGTGGCGGTGGAGGAGGAGAGTCGCCGCCGCCGTCCTTGCTCGGATGCTGTGCGTCGCCGGGCTGTTGCCCCCGCCGCTCCATCGCCGCGCGCGCTGACTCGTGCCCCGCTGGGTAAGCTGCCCACCCTCGGATTTATGACGGAAGGGGTGGGGCAGTGCGGCCTTTGGTTGACTTCCCTTTTGGCCTTTTGGGTGGTGTCTGGTGTGCTCTGTGCTGTGCGTGGCGGCCTGACGCCCTGGCCACTGGTGGATTGCGGATTCGCGCTCGGTAGACCGTGCTCGCGCTACGACACCGAGATTCTGGTGCGCGCCGCACGTCGGTCAGGTCCGTCGGAGCAGAGCACGAACCGCGACCCAAACCACGCCATGCACCAGCAGCTCGGGTGACGCTCGAGCTGGTGCTTAACGACCCAAGTGCCCGACCACCTGACACAACTCAACTCGTTTCACCTGATCGTAACTATGGTCAGCTCTTTCATCTGATTGCAACTAAGGGCGCATTTAGTTGGCCGGAATTTGGAGGTGCAAAGTTTGCATAGTGCCAGATTTCATACTGTAGCATTTCGTTTGTATTTGGTAATAATTGTCCAACCGTTGACTAATTAGGCTCAAAATATTCGTCTCGCAAAGTACAACCAAACTGTGTAATTAGTTTTTAATTTCGTTTACTTTTAGTATTCCATACATGTACCGTAAGTTTGATGTGACAGAGAATCTTCTTTTTACATAGTACCAAAATTGGGAGTTTGAGAGGAACTAAACAAGAGCTAATCTACTATGATTGCCTCGTCTGCAGTGCTGTCAACGCCACTGGCTCACTGGCCCTTTTCCCTGGTCGGTAACGAGATAAACCAAACATAAATCACTCCCTACTTTCCTCTGTAGCTGTATGCATAGACAGCACATGTTTAAATCTATAGGTCCTGTTCATTTCGTTGAAATTTATTTAAATCTACAGCCTTGTTTGTTTCGCTAAAATTTAACTTATACTGATGCTGAAATGCTTATACTGATGCTGAAATGCTATGAGAGATTGCCGAAGTAGTGCAGCAGAACAAGGCCACGCTGAAATGCATATATACCAGGTAAAAAATATGTAAAGCGTTACAGTGATCAAAGGAGTCACATCCTGTTTCCATATGGTTCCCAGCAGAAAATTTCATACCAGACCCATTGAGAACTCCATGGTAAAACTGATCCCAGGTTCCCAGTTGTTCACTGCTAACCTTAAAAAAATTGCAGATTCTAATTGTACAAAAGAATATGTTTTCTCAAAGAAAAAGGACTAGGGTTACTGCAACCCCAACGAATCTAACCTTGTCCATCCAACCCCATACACCAAATAGGCCTACTCTTCTTTTCCCTCGGTTGCTATCCTAACATATTTCAAACCTAAAAAAAAACATCTGTTTCCCACTCATGGAACAATTCTCGACTGAAAACAAGTTTTACAGCTTAACTCATGAAATCAAATGCAGCTCACTTCTTAGAAGGGGTAGCAGTTGTTTTATTTGTGCATGCTTGAGGGTCATTTGCCATCCTGGATGAAGCAGCACCATCTATGGCAATGTTCCCCAACTCTAAAGCCATTGCGTCTCTTTCTTCGTTCTCCTTCTTTTGCTTCTCTGAAACACCATCACCTGAACTCTGTGCTGAGTCAGGCAGTGTTTTAGGTTGCTGTCGGAGGGGACCAACATCAAGCCATGGATGCTGAAGCAACTGAGCAGCGGTAGGGCGCTTCTCAGGAACAAAATCAAGTATTGGAACAAGAAAATCCGCCATCCCAATAGCATTTACTTCAGTGAACTCGTACTTCTCCATCAGCACCTTGTTGAGAGGCCAGAACCGCAAGCGTCGGATGTGCCTCAAATCCCCATACCGATTGAAGAAGTCACGTGAATACCGACCACCCAACGCAATCTGGGAAACATTATTTGTATGCCAAAATTAAGAACACTATGGACTTTTGCTTAAGAACTATGGAAAGTTAAAATTGAAACCTTGCTAACCTTTCGAGGCATCATTCCTAGCAGTTCCATCATCAGCGCAAGGTGATCCTGTATTATGAAGAATTTCTCAGAATATAACTCCATCTTGGGAAGGGAGCAAGTCATATCATTTTCCCAAAAAAAGAAATTGCAAAGCTGCAGTCTAGAGACACATACTTGGCACATGCAAAAATACTATTAAAATGAAGAAACCTTGATGTAGAAATTTTACATAGTTCAAGGACTAATTTGTAGAGTAATCAGCAGTTGATCCCCAACAAAATGCAGAGGCCAATCAACTAGAAAACCCAAATGATAAATACTTCAAACTTGCTCGATCCACGCAAATAAAATTTTCCATGTGGTTCAAGACCATGTGCCATGTGCAAGTCAAAAATGATTTACTATCAACATCGTTTCTTGTTACCAGGATACAGAAAATATCAAACAAAAACTCATTCTGCCCAGTCAGGGTGCAGCAAGCCACGAGCCAAAAGGGAGCAACAAGGCACAGCAACGTTGGCAGAAGTTGAAAAAAAAAAACGGTTTCTAGCTCTACCACTTAGCCTTCGTGTTCTTCTTCTGTAATCTATTTTTTAGACATCAACTTGCTTCTCTTACAACAAAGCAATTTAGATATGGAATTGACACTTCCTCAACATCAGCAGTTCAAACTGTAGAAAAATATTATGTAAAAGTGGGTAATAACTTATGTGGTTGTGCGTGCCATCCCAATATTGACAAACTAGATAGTTACTGTACTTTTCAGTTTTCTTTTTTTTTTAAAAAAAAAGGACCTCCATTCTATTTTATTTGGCATTTTAGATTTGTGAACACATGGTATGGAAAAGTAAAGATCAACCACTAAAGTTGTATCCTTCTCTAACTGGCTAAGCTCATTGTCTCCTATTGTCACCAACTAGCAAAGCAAAGTACCTTTGCATTGGGTAGTTCACAGATGTTCAGTGTCAGTGACGCGAAGTTAAAAAAAAAACATGTCATTACACATATGACCAAGGATATGTACATGAAAGATGTATGCAAAAAAAAACATGGCAAATGCAGGGACAAAATTGAAAACATCATGGATTTACTACTAACGAAAAAAAAGAAATAGAACCAGCTGATTTCGTAGTTAAAGACAAGACAAGATGCACACTGCATTTATTTCAACATTCATGTCTGATTATCATAGTTTAAACAGGTTCATGTTCCTTTTTTGTTTGTTATTCTTAGCTGGGTAAGGATGAGGATCCTACCAAACCAAAAGAGAGTTAGCTCAAACCAAAGCAAAGTTGTATAATAATAAAACGAGTTCTTCAGAACAGACTTAGTCACTTCTAGTTCAATGACTGGTTATGAGATTTCAGAATAACTACACATAAAATAATTAGATTAGAGGGCAAATTACATTGTGTTCATTGCAAGTCAGTATGGAAGGCTTTTTTTGGGTTATCAAGACCACCTTTTGTTCAGGGTACACTTGCAATCAGGTGATTCTCTTTCTTTTTTTCTTGGATATATGATTCCATGAAAAGTACAATAGATGAAATCAGGGCAATGAGAAAAAATAGACATACCTCATCTCTGTCAAAATTATCGCCACTATGTGGATCAAATAGCACATCCCCAGTGGCAAGCTCAAAGCAAATGCATGCAAAGGACCACAGGTCAGCAGATGTAGAATACTTGGAACCAAGTATAACCTCAGGACATCTGTACTGCCTTGTTTGAATGTCGCTTGTGAACTGCTTGTATGTCCAACATGCATTTCCAAAGTCCACCAGCTTGCATTTTAGATCAGCCTCCATTGCCATCTTCTTCTTGGCCCCTTTGCTACCCCGTCTATCTCGTGTTGCCTGCTTCTTAGCTCCATCCTGGCTAGGGCTACCCTCATTTGTTGTACCCAGATCTCCTCGGTCATCTGACCCATCTGTGTCAGCAGATGCCACAGCAGTACTTCCTTCTGAAGTTGCAGCAGCTGCACGTTTGGCTTTCTTCCGGATCTTCTTCTTCTGGTTCTTAGTGAGGCCACCATTTCCTGATTGTGCAGGAACCTTTGGAGGTGGCTCGTCTGTCCTCGCTGAAGGCAGAACCAGGGGTAAACCTGATTTCCGAGGGTCCTTCGAGGGGTCAATGGTAGACACAAGCAATATATTCTCCGGCTTAAGGTCAGTGTGAATAATAGAAAGTGTGCGGTGGAGGTAGTCAAGGCCAATGAGCACATGGCGGCATATCTTCTTAACCATTGGAAGGGGAATTCCTCGATAGTCCGTGTACTTTATCAGGGTCAACAAGTTATCACCGAGAAACTCAAAAACCATGCACACATGGTTACCGTTAGGACCCGAGTGCTTGAAGTGGTCAAGAAGCTTAACAACACATTTTGAGTCGTCAGGGTCACCATCAGCAATCTGCTTCAAGATCTTGATCTCATCCATGGCTGCTTCTGTGTAGTGTTGAGCGCTCTTCTGCACCTTCAGCGCCACATATCTCTGTACAGTGCATCAACAAATCCAGAAACGTTAAGACAGATGCTCCCTGAATCTCTAGATAGCAGGGGATAAAGAAATCGGAATTTTCGTGAATAATGGGTATCCCGAATGGAATAGTAGTTATCATTTTATCCGCAACGAATCTATGCATTAGTATCCTCTCAGGGAAAGTAACGAACAGTTGGTGGGCAGAGGCAAACAGCAGCAGCAAACTGGATAAACCGCATCCAGATCGACAACACGAATCATTGGAATTGGACACGAAGAGATCTCGAGAAAAGGGAGGGCACGCACGGAGTGGGCTGTGTCCCAGGCAAGCCAGACGGTGGAGAAGTGGCCCCATCCGAGCTTGGACTGCACAACGTAGGTGCCCTGCTTGAAGGAGTCTCCGACGAGGACGGCGTGGTATCCGCCACGGCGGTAGTCCTCGGTGCCCTCGTCCTCCGACGTGTAGTCGCTGCTCTCGACCTCCTCATCCTCCGCCTCGCCCCTCCCCCTGTGCCCCGCATCCGCCTCCATCGCCGCCGCCCCCTCCTCGCCCTCCATCCGCCGCCTCGACAACGACCCCGCCGCTTCCGCCTCCGCCATAGCGCGGGTGGCCCGGATCTGCGCGGTGGCGCGCGGGAGCTAGGGTTTTGGGCTGCCTTTTCTAGTGGCGGTGGTGCTCTCGTCTGTCTGGCGCTCCCGCTGCGCTTCCTTCCTCTTTGCCTCCTCTGTGCCCCGAGGAGCACCCCTTTAATTATGGTTATTTTTTATCCTACCATCACAATTCTTCAACTTTCAAGATTTACCATTACAATTCATTTGTTTCGAAACTTGCATTATAATTTTTCTTCTACATAATCCTTGCTATTGTCTACGTCTTTCGAATACCTAGGCCTACTGTCAGGCCATAGAGGTGTACGCATCTTCCGTAAGGACCAAAACACCCCTGTTGTTTCTCTCTCCCTCCATCGGTTAACGTGAGGGCCCTACATGTCAGCTTCTCGTTCTCCCTCATATGTTTCTAGACTCTTCGAGAAGTGGCCATGGATGAAGCACTCGTCTATTTCTAGACCCTTCTAGAAGCGGCCATGGATGAAGCACGGGTAGACGTCGATCTTGGGCTACGTACCACGAGAAGATGAGCAACGAAGTTTTTTTTCGAGAACACATCCGTCGACATAGCCTGAAGTCCTAAACCTGGCCTACCCTGTTCGTTTCGTTGAAATTTAGCTTATGTTTGATGTTTATGCTGAAATACTGAGAGGTAAATATTGTTTGTTCGCTGAGAAATACAGCTAAACGTTATGTTCGCTTGACTTATAAGTCGTACTTTTTTAGTCAACGAATAATACTTTTCTGTCACGACAAATTATCCACAGTCATGGCTTTTCCACCGAACAAACCGGACGAAAGTAGTGCAGCGGAACGGAGCGAGTGATTCGAGATTTTTGCAGTCGTTGATTTCAATATAGAGGAGCTTGTTTTGTCGCTGTTGCTTTGCGGCTTTGCCTCGTCCACGTTCCCCGGCTGCCAGATCTATCGATCCGTGCTCTACTCTAGTGCTATGTGAAGTCTCTGAAGCAAAATATATGCACTTGGAACTGGCGGAACTGCATGCCCGCAACATGAATCGAGAGACAGTCCGCTTCGAGATAGCTGAATTGGGCCTGGTAATCAGGCACCGTCAGCATCCAAAAGAAATCAAACCAAAGAGTCCATCAGTTTCATATTCAAAATGTCCCTGAGAATAAAGCCATAAAGACTAACAAGAAACCGGCGGCGAGCTAATCATCGCCGAACCTATCACAAACATTTCGAGCCACACTAAGGGCACTGTCACAGTGCCACTGCGCCACAGGCTCTGTTCGGTTGGTCTATAAGCCGCTTGTGCTGATTTATACGACTAATTTGTTGGAGAGAGAAAAATGTTATACCATAACTGATAAGTCAGCTTATAATGGCAGCCGAACAGTCAAACAGTGCCACTGCCAGCAATACTTGGTAAGCGCAAGCAGCATCAACTAGAACAAACTTAGTAGTTGGTACTAATCTCTAATGAATTACAGTATAATATTACTATTACATTACCGCTGCATGCTACACCTGAAGGCTGGCTACTAGCATCCAAAGACTCTAAGCCGGCGAGGTGGAGAGCAGGAACGCTGGCATGGACCTCTGCAGCAGGATGCCGCAGAAGGGGCAGAGTGCGACGGAGGCTGCTGACAGATCGAGCGATCCTTCATCATGGATGGTGGACGCCTGCATGGTGAAGAACGACTCCGGCAACAGCTTGTCGACCGTGCCTCCGCAGCACACGCAGTGCCACACTGGCTGCAAAACGGAGCACAGGATCATCGACGCCCTGCACAGCGATAGGGTGTGCCTTTCTCGGCAGATGGCTACATCAGACGACTCGAAATGGACTGGCGAAGAGCAGTAGGGGCAGCTTTCTATATCAGAGTATCCGTCGATCCTGCAGGAGGAAACAGTTAGGTTCCGTGCCCAATGTTAGTGAACTGGTATCTCTTTTCACAGATGAAATTGGATGACAGATGATTGATCAATTGAGATGGGAAAATGCACCTGCTTCCTAGATCTTTGATCTTCGATCTGATAGACTGCAGCTGGCTATGCACTTTTTCGTAATTCATGGATACCCAAGAATCCATCTGAGCAACCCCGACAGGAAACCAGCAATTTTCAGTAGAGGTACCATTGAACAAACATGTTGTCCGTTTCAGGACTGCGGCAAAGGTGAAACCCACCAGCCTCTCTTGCAGTTCTGTTTCACTCCTTACCAAAAGAGCGTTCCAGAAATCAGTTGTTTCCTCATTACCGTTTTGAGCATCAGGACCATGCTGTGCATGATTGCTGAGCATTACTTTTCTGCAAATTATGTTCAGTAAGACTTAGCATATACCTAGAGATCTATGTTTGAATAGGAGTACTTGGAAAACAGCTATTGAAGTGCCTGAACCGTGATTTGGGCTCTTAGTGGGTTTCAACTCTAGCCTACCCCAATTTACTTAGGACTGAAAGGCTATGTTGTTGTTGTTCTATGTTCAGTAAGTGTAGCTTCCGCGAGCTGACATAGGGCATCATGTCATGCATTGAACATGACGGGGCATTGATAGAAGGGAGAATTATTTATTTGGCACTGAAACAAATTGGTCTTTGGAAGAAAAACATTGTTGGCTGACAAAAGTGAGAAAGAAAGAGTTGCTTCGGATATATAAGCGAGTGTTCGGATGACAAGACCGAACGGGAAATAGGTCTAGTTGTACCAAAACAAGGAAAGCGCAAGAAATTGGCTAGACTTGATTTTTTAGGTGCTAAAGGGGTTGTGCCCTTATCTGATGATTGTCGTATCATTGATGTAGATCAAGCTCCTACAAATTGTTTTCTTGAGATGAAAGACAACGTCATGCAAATTAAGGACATGTACTTCTCTAGCATGATTAACAAAGTACAAGGTACAAGTATTTTATCAAATTTATTTCAATTACTACATCTATTAATAATATTCTAGCTAGTAATTTTAAGAGACCGATTGAGGAAAGTAATTTACTTGTTGATCATGAAATAAATTCAGATTGCATCGGCCAACATATTATTACTTATCAAGAGGCCGATGACAATATTTTGTCAAAGTTAAAGCTTTCCCAAATGTTTACCTTGGATTCTATATTTATGTGGGTTGCTTTACTTGTTTTAAATTCAGTTCATACTTGATCCCAAAGGAGATACAAACTGTGTAATTATTGTGGGTTTAATTTTTCGGGACCAAGATTGAAAAATATTGCCCATATCGATGTTGATTTTATGATCGATTCTAAAACATCTCGCAAGAGAGGCAATAGAACTCTGATTTCAATTTCATCAGAATCTGGATACTCATGACCTTCTTTTTTCATTTCAAGATAGTACTTCTCAAATTTCTCCTGTCGAGCAAGAAAAGCATCATATGTTCGACTAAAATAAAACTGTCATTTAATACTTTCAGGCTTTGGGAACACAGTAGGAGTCGAAATGTGAGTATTAACTCCTACATGGTCTTGAATTCTTATTGATTCGGCTATGGTTACTAGTAACAAGGTCGAATCATGAGAATTAACACATAAATGCCTTGCTGAATTTTCATGAATTCAGCCATGGTTATTGGCGACATATGAGGCCGAATTATGAGCATTAGCACTTGAACACATTGCTGGAATTTTATTAATTCGGTCATAGTTATTAGGCCAGCAACATCAAGAATGAGCAATCAACTTAAGTGCATACACAGAATTTGGACAGCAGTACAGCAGTCGCGTGTTTCAACCATAACTGAAATTACAATCATTCAATAAAAGTGATCTTGGACTTTCTAGAAATCTAATGAAATTGTCTACAACTTTATTATTCATTCCAAAATCTAACTCACAACTTAACATGATCAAATATGCCAATATCTCAGGTCTGTACCGATAAGGACAGAAAACTGACATTAACTTCATAAATGCATAACTGCAGTTCTAATCATCCAAAAAGCATGATCCTTAACTTTATAGAAAGATTATTAAGTTATATATAACTTTCTTATTATCATCTTTAGGTGATTAAACCTTTATTTGGCCTTAAACACATAAATCAATAATTCTATCTAAAACATGGACAGAATCTGACATGCAACTTCAGACAACAATAAATTGAGTTCTAGCATTCATAATAAGGTGGTTCTAAACTTTTTAGAAATCTTAGAAAACCATTCACAACTTTTTTATAAATACCACAAGCTAATTCCAAAGTTAACCAGGTCAAACATCGCAAAGAAGATATCTCTATCCAGTTGAGGACAGATTATGTCATTCCACTTCACAAGCTCATAACTGGAGATTTAGACCACCAAAATATGTGATCTTTAACAATTTGAAAAGCTCATGAAAATAACTATACTTCTTCTATTATCACCAATACATGGTTCCATGTTTAAATGAGCCAAAAAAATATAATCATTCAGATCTGTCCAGAGGACATGCGAAAACCTGACAGCAAATTTCTAAAATCTATAGCTCCTAAATTATCTAGCCTATGGTCATGAAAACTTAACACAAGCTAGATTATGAAGTTACATACAACTTTGGTATTCACCATATGCACAGAAAACATCATTTACATCACAAAACTAATTGCACAACCAAAACTATACCTGCAGTCTAGACAGCTGAGGCATACCACATTCATCTCTTATTTAGTTGCTACCAACTAACACGTTCTTGACATACATGCTACTCTAAACAGCTTGTGACCATATTCAAACAATCATAGCACATACTAATAGCTATGAGAAGCATCATAGGACAATAACTATGTAGATCTATTAGCAAACTTTTATCCTCTATGTATATAATGCAATATATATGCTATTTTTAGTGCCATATGAGAACAACTATTTTGGGGCTAAGATTTTTATGAGTGGTAGATGTTATTAAAACAAGGCTACTGCACAAATTTCACATGCTCAGATTTTATAGATTAATTACTATGAAAAAGACAAAGTACTATTGTAAGAAAACATGTAAAAGCAAGATAAATCTAAAGATCATCATTTTCTATAAACATATAGCCATATTATATGTTATTATGGTATCACAATATCATACAAAGGTAGTGGAACTATATTTTCCATTTTTACACCTACATAAAAATTATAACTTATTAAAAACCATTTATCAAGCAATAAACAAGTTAAATCAATAAATCAATCATACTGCATCTAATGAACATGAAATTTTTACCGCAACACACATATAGCATCAGTAGCCTACTATAAAAATTTTACACAATTGGAGCACCACAACTTTAGATATGAAAATGATAAGCAAAACAAGCTAAAATTACCTATTTAACAAGATTAAATCAAACATGATAACAACAGTACATAACTAGCATGTTTAATATTTTTCTTAACTAGAGAGTGTCATCACAAGACTAACACAACTAGAACCACAATTTTTGGACTTTCGTAATTCAAGACATGCATCTAACCAACTTAAAAGGATTTCTAAAAGTACTTTGCAAGAATAAATAAAAACATCAGAAACTTTATATTAACACATATCATATTATGACTCTACTATGTAGATATACTCACAAGGATTCTAAAAAGTCCTTATTTACTATTTTACAATTTTTCTACAATTTACTATGTATTTTCAAAGATTCTCCTAAATTAATGCATAAAGAAAAAGATAAAGACAAACAGATCTTGCATCGGGGACCCTGCACTTTTCACAAAACAAACTCCAACGAAAAGGTCCTTGTTAGCGCTATTCATATGAGTCATGGATTTCACAACTGGACCCAACGAAGAGTTTCTATTTGCATTTTCCTCCCTATCTTCTTCTTCACGTAACCGGAGCAGAGGATGTTGGGGGAGGCGTGGTGCTCGCCGGCAACGAGGGGGGAGGCGTCGAGGCACAGCGACGTCGGGCCACACCTGCGCCTGGTCTTGTCCCGACCAGAGGCGATCCGTGGTCTCCCGACCACGTGCATGGGTGGCATGCCGCGGCGGCGGCCTACAGCGACGGCGAAGGCAACGGCAACGGTGGCGAGATGCTTCTGGCAAGCATGCACAAGGTGGAGGAGGAGGTCGTAGGGATGGTGGCGGCTTGGCCTGGGCTACAAGCCGCTGAAGCTGCGGGGTGACGAGTGGCTCTGCCCGCGGTGGCCATGGCACCAGCGCTGAGCAGCGAGGTGAGGGAGTGGCAGAGAGGGAGTGGGGAGGCGAGTGAGGGGCGTCAGGGGCAGCTCGGCATCTTCACATCGCGAGCGTGGGCGAGGTGGCGGTCATGCGAACAAGCACGAGGGCCACACGGTAGCGGCATCCTGCGCTCGGTCGGCCATGATGAGCTCCAGTTTGAAATCAGCTAAGGAGCTAACAATACCACCTCAAAAATACAATTGAAACTCTATCTTCAACCTTCCTTATCCTTTGCTCTGGATGGCCTGTGATCACGGCACAAGAGGCAAAGTTGCAGAGCTTTGTGAGGTGAACAAGATTTCTTTAAGCATAAAGAGCTAATTCGGCCTAGATTTGGAGATATAGATCTTCAAAGGAGGGTACCTCAAAATCGAATTCTGCAGTTCTGTTACAGGCTGACTGAAACTGCATTCTTCTCCCCCTTCTGACTCCTAAACTAGTTAGCGATTTGTTCAACCAATTGCACCATGTGACAGATCTACACGAGTACTACAACTTTGATTAAAGGAGTTTGGCCAAATTCGACATGGTTAGCAAACTAAAATTCACCAAAGACAGGTACATGAAAACGGAAACACGAAGATTCAGTCATCCCAGACAGCCAAATTCCGGGATTCCAAAACGATATTTTGTTGATTCTTGTGAGCTCTATTTGGCTAAGCTAGGCACTGATTTAGCTCTTGTCCATTAAACAAAGTTTGTTATAAATAAGGTGAACTACAACTTTTATTTAGGTTCCACTGCCATACAAACATTCTAAGCCATAGTTCAAACCAAGTCAAAACAGCATCACAATAAAGCTTAAATTATCCTTTTTGATCTATTGAAGCATTTTGAACTTCCTTAACTAGCACTAACTTGAAATTTTCTTCTATAAATGGCACTGTCGTCCATTTGATGCACTAACGGTGTTAAGTGACAGCTAAAATGACATGTCTACCTTTTCATGTAGTAGCGACACGTAGTGCCAGATAGGAAAAGAAAAACTGAACATGTTGTCAAATAAAGAAAACATAAATATCACAAATATATTTGTGAATTAAAATATGGCATTTTGATAATTGAAGAGTGCAAACAAAATAATCAATAATTTCAAATACTAAGATAAGAACACGTACAAAAAATAATAAATAAATTTCAAGCACAAGCTTACATCGTAGATCGTACTGAATTAGGAGTAACTTGGAAAGAGCCTATTCTGCTTTCCCGCCGGCGTGACGCCCAAACACTGTCGTCGTCACGGCCGGCCGGTGTGCTAACTCCATAGAGGTGTTGTGCTGCGTCGTCTGCATGCGTGTACACTGGCCAGCGCGCTGCTGGGACCATCGCTTTTTGGCCGGATGCTCCCGCACGGCGGTGAGCTCTTCGCCATGCCGGAGGGGTGGGTGCAGATAACCACCATCGGCGGGTACGCCTTCATGCTGCAAATCTTCGTCATCCGCGTGAAGACGGACCTGGGCATGATCGTCAAGTCCGGCAAGAAGACCATGGCCATCGCCTTCTTCGGCACCATCACGCCGCACCTGGCCATGTACGCTGCCGGCGCCGCGCTCAAGCCACGCGTGCCGGTGGCGTGGAAGGCCACCTTCATGCTCACCAACCTCAACGTGTGGTGGTCGCTCTTGTGTTAGCAACCTGTAGCTGGATTGTAGAGAATAGAGGGGAATTAGAAGAACAGCAGTAGGAGCTCAGGGATTTGGGAGGAAGATGAACAGTGGAGAGAGAGAGGAAGGAAACCTGTTTGTATTCTGTTGTTTGATGATCTTTCCAGCTGGTGCTCCTGCGCTCTTGTAGGTGACGGCCTGTGGTCTAGGCCAATGCTTGACATCCAGGCCACTTGATAAGGTCTGCCACTTGAACTGTATTACCAATGAAAGATGGCCAGGGTGTTGGCCTAAGTTGAACTCCATTGCCCTGCGTCCCAAACTGCTCCGGTGGCGGCCATGGTTGCCTATGCGGCACTACATCCCAGCTACGACAGGATGGAGGCGAGAAACAGCTCTGTATGCTCTTGTCAACCAAGGATTGAGCTGAGGGCACACAGTCAGTACATAGCATGTTTGACATATGCATGGGAGGTGGCCACAGTATCTCTAAAATATGCTTAGCCATTTCCTCAAACACCTCAGGGGCCTCTTGAACGACAGAGACAGGCCCAAACGCAGCAACTCCATTGGAGTGAGGAGGGTAGACGATAGTGATGTACCTTCTCGGCATCAAACACCACTTGCGCTTGAATGGAGATGGAAGCAGGCCTAAATGTAGTTGGCATGGTGGGGTCGATGCAGGTGGCGACACGGACGGAGAGCTCGGACAGGAACGCGTTGGCGTACTCGAAGGAGATGGTCTCGCCACCGAGCAATGGCTGACCGTCGTTGTGGAGGCAGTCGTCATGGCCCTGGTAGACGGCGATGTCCTCCGCGGCTGCGCACCCCTCGTCCATCCGGCTTTGCCGTATCGGGCCTCCTGCTCCTCCACCGCCTCCAGCGACTCCTGGCGAGCAGAGGATCTGGCGGGGCAGTGGCGCTGGCACCGGCACGGGCACGGCAGGGCGCCGCATCGGACCTCCAGCGGGCGTGGGCACCCCGCGTCCACCGCTGCGCGATCTGCAACCGGTGGCCGCGGCCGCTCCGCATCCTGGCCGCCGCCGTGGGCACGCGTGGGGCCGTGGGGGCATGCGCGGCCGGCCCTGGCCGCCGCCGGCCGATCCCTCCTCCGCCTTTGCCTGCGTGACACGGCGGGTGCGACAGTGTCGCTTTATAGAAGAAAATTTTAAATTGGTGCTATTAAGGGAAGTTCAAATTTTCTAGCATCAAGGGCTCCTTTGGCATGGCTCATCTAAAACGGTTTCATCGATGAAGCTAGAAAAACTAGTTTTTCTTGACTTCTAGTTTATTTTAACCTCGGCTTATAAAACGGCTTCACGCTACAGTGGCTCGATTTGCGCAAAATAGATGAAGCCGAAACTGACATAAGCTATGTCAAAGAGGCTCCAAATATAAAAGACCAATTTATTTCAGTGTCAAATACATAATTCTCGCTTGATAGAAACACGCTGTAGGTCGCCCGAAGATAAAGCTGAGACCCAACTATGCACTAAAGTCTCCAGAAAGGCAGGTGCAGATTTCTTCGACTCTTGCAGCGCAGTTACAACATCCCATAACACAAGCCTCTTTTCAACATTTTCATATTTCTTCAGCGACCACAAAATGTTGGATCCCCACCACATAATGTTACTTGAGGATAAGTCTGCAGACCGTGGACTGCAAATATCAATGCTCCTGTCTAGTGGAATACCAACAAATTGGCCACCGATCCAGATGAACTCAACCACCGCCTTTTGTGTCCTGTTGTTTTGATTACCAAAATTAATTCTAAATGTTATATTAAAGCAAGGAAGATTTGTAGCACAAGAACCCAGTACTTTTCACAACGCATAAGTAAAATTACCTGACTTGATACATCTGGTTCAAAAGGTTCAGATCCAAACTGCGTACCTGAAAAACGACAGCCATCAATTGCAGCTTATGCATATCTCTTCACCGACAGTAACAGTTCAGTTGAACAAAAAGATGTCGGATACAAAAGCCCAAGGCATACCACAGCAATCATCTGTTCTCCAGGTGCTAGTGTAAGACCATAGCATCGATCAGAGACTTCTGATAGCTGCATGCATATTGAGAACCCAATTATATGGGGAAAAAAATTGGACATCAAGGATAACAAACATTTAAGTATCTACTAGTTTTACATCTGCTGACTCCCTTAGCTCTGGAAATTTTGAATGCACAAAAATTTCTTCAAGGTGGTTTTCATGAGAGATCCAACAACGTGCAGAATTATCCTAAAAGAAGAAAAAAATGAAAAGCATCAGGCTGAAAGGCGCAACTTTCAAAATCTGAGTGATACAACTTCTCAGGAGGAAGAACAAAGTGAACTATATAGTACATTAAGTTGAGCTAGTAAATTAATCAACAATCAAGAAAGATTTCAGCTTTTAAATTCATCAAAGGTTATGAAAAAACAAGAAAAATAAACTGCCACGGAGAATACATCAAGCAACCAGGACACGCGAGCACCTGGGTAAAGATCGCACGGGCAGCCTCTCAACTGGATGTTCTACTAACCATGCTGCACCTTGGTAGTCAAGTTGTTACAGGTTATATTTATCAAAATGAAACCAGACCATCAGATAGTGCAATAGTAAAAGAGGCTCATAAAGTTTCAGTAGTTAAACAAAGAGTAAAATGCACCATCAGTCCCCGAACTTGACTGAGGGTGTCATATAGGCCCCCAAACTTTGAAAATGCACACAAAATCTCTAAACTTACTGAGCATGTCATGTGAGGTCAGTCACCATATCTTGAGTTAATCTGCCTACGTGACACACTGACTGCATGATGACATGAAACACGTGTGGGCCCACATGTGAGTCACATCTCTTCCCTCCCGAGCATGTGAGCCCCACACGATGGTGCTATGTCATTGTGAAGTCAATGTGCTATGCAGGCGGATTACCTCAAGTTATGGTGATTTGGACCTAATGTGACACGATTAGTAAGTTAAGGACCTGGATGACACCCAAACCAAGTTTGAGGACCCACAGTGCATTTTATATTCTTATAAAACAAATAAGCATGAGAAGTATTTAGCTTTTTCACAAGTGTGGGTAGGCGGTGGAGGTAATCGTGATCCTGGATGGGAGTGGGAGGACGTTGTTCACCTCAACGCCCTATGTTGGGAAAATGGGAAGGGTAGAGGTAGAAAATGGAGATAGAGGGAAGGTTCATGTATTGCTTAACCTTACACAGGTACATCTTATAAGCATACTATATGCTAGCTGTCATGGGCGTTGGGCCCTAGGGTAGCTAGACCTCGGCTATGCGGTTCATAGCCTCGATCCGTAGGGTTGGGGCGAGGTTTTACCCCTCAGCGCCCCGTTGTTGAAGGGGATGAGATTAAGACTAGTACTTCTTTATTGCTTGATTCTCAAAGGTGTCTCATACATAGCTTATAGAGGCACTCGGCCGGCTAAAGGAAAGAAGAGTTCACACTCCTAAAATTAGTTGAAGGCGTCCTCTATCCACTGCATGCCTTCCCAGTTGATCAAGCCTATCCACTGCATGACTGATGAAGCTGCTCATCCACTTCCCAGGCGCGTTGCTTCCATGAATAGGCGCGGCCTACCTCCTGGACCGCAACTGCGCATGTGCCCAATCTTGCCTGGTCCGCATGCGTGCTCTTCCATTGCCCGCTTCTCGCGCGGTGTTCCCTGGCTCTCCTCCTAGAGGGGCTGTAGCCCCACATGACACCAGCTCTCCTAATCTTGTGCACTCGAGACTAAGAAATATAACTTATCCAAACAAACTTCCTAAGAAACTGAAAGTCTGAAGCGAAGCCTAACAACATGATAGATATACTCAAGGCACGCTCACCGCACGTTCCTGCTGCCTCATGCTGCCATTGGCGCATTTGCCCTCTTGGCGCACCTAGAGTACTGCTTGCCCCACATAGCATCATACCAAAATGGTACTAGTTAATTTTCAACACTACGATTTTAATCTTCTTTACTCACAATATACATGGCATTGAAAGGTGTATTGGAAGCAACGTTGAAGTCAAGAACAATTGTCTAAAAAAGGGCTTAATACACTCATTACCCTGGTGGCCTGGGAAATTTGGAAGCACAGGAATGAGCGTCTTTAATGGTGCAAGTCCAAGCATCACAATATTATTACAGACAATCACAAATGAATGCATCCTATGGTGCTCTGCTGGTGCAAAAGGACTCCAGGAGCTGCTGGCTGGATCGCTTGTTGTGGGTTGATTTTTCCTAAGTTTCTGTTGGTGCTCTTTGTCGCTTAGCCGGTACTAGACTAGTTTATTTGGCCCTGTGTCTCACAATCACAGGTCATGTTAGCTGTGGAAGGCTATTTGCTCTGGTCTAGTGTTTCCCTTAGGGAGGGGGGTTCTTCTCCCTCCTTTTTACTGTTCTTCTTTTTCTCTCTTAAAGAAATGATGCGCAATTCCCATCCATGTTCGAGAAAAAAAAGAATGATTGTCTAACAAGAAAAAGAGAATGGAAAGAATATGAAAGAAACAAAAGGTAGTGATCCGTGGTTGAGCATAGGTGGCTAAAGAGGTCAACTCATACTTCATCTCAAAGAGGTTTTCACCACACATCCCACATCTCTATTCGATGTTTTACTTAGACTCTCAGACTTTCAACAATCCAATGGCTTCAATCAACCCAATATTTGGGAACAAGTTCTCATGCTAAAACGCAATATACAATCAAGGCGCAACAATCAAATAGGTGACATGAAAAAAAAGTCAACAAACCTGACTGCAAGTGAATAAACAATAGCCATCCATAGCCCATTGTAAACCTGTCACCTATGGTAATGTTAGACATTTTTTTATTTTTCTGAAGATAAAATATCCTCAACTAATGTGAAGCATTACCACTTGATCATGTGCATGCCATGCACTGGAAATCTCAATTTTTTTGCTAGATGCATTCCATATCCATATTTCTAGTGACCCGGATACTCTTCCAATTGCCAAACTAACCTCATGTTGAGACTGGGCAGGTATGGCTAATGAGATTGACGACACTGGAGCTGATAAATCAGTGGCAACCTGACTAAATAAACATTTGGAATGAAAATTTTAGTAAGAAGAACATCAGAGTTCAGAAGGATGAAACTTGAAGGTACAGAAGCATGCTACATTGATTTGATGTTGTGCAATCTAAAAAAACACACATAAATTGTACATGTCAAGTGTAAACTCTACTAGGTATATATTACATACCTCAGCAACTAACACAAATGCACTTCTTCTCCACTTGCACATTGATTTAACCCTTCAATATTCCCTAACCATATCTTAACACTGAAAAAACAAACCAAATCTTCAACATGAGATATGTAACGTTTACAGAAAACTAATAATAACTATCCAAAGGCAATAAATAACCATAGGAATAACCAAAGTTTGTAAATTATGAGGCAAAGACCAATGAGAATCTTTTAAGGCATATGTGTAAAGTATTTTCACCACCGCCCAGATATCTCGTGCAGAGAATGAGTTGCATGATTGTTTAACATCAAGCACAGAAATTAGAAAAATAAATGGGGGACGGGAGTGCTTTCTTATTTTTATTTATTAAGGCAGAGGTAGGACAAGCTCATTACATGCCTATACAGGTCATTCTGCTGCTTATGGACCAATTTTGACCTTGTTCCAGAAAACATAGAAGCCAAACTATGCTTATGATTATCCACATATATCACTTTTGCCATGTCATGAGTAAAGAAGAGCTCACAAAATTCATGTAAGCAAACAAGAAACGGTACATAGTACGGCTGAAGAAAGCACATCACCATTTACAGACAATACGGATAAATCACGATTACCTTCCATCTGAGCATCCAGTAGCTAAAAGCAACGAGGATTTTGAAGAGCCCGCAGAAAGAGCTTGCCAAATTATGACGCTGACCCATGATTTGTGAGCTTGCAAAACCCCGATGAGCATTGGATCACTGGTAACCACACCAGCATCTATTGTGTAATATTCTGGCTATTTCCATATTTAGAGCCAACAGCAAGAATGCACCAATGCCTCAATAAACAAGAAGTTTTATCACTTGATGACACAAATGGAGACCATGAAACTACAATGGAAGACAAATGGGCAGCACGACAAGCATATTGTTTTGCCGTGATAAGAGGAAGAGATTTGCTTTCTCCATTGGAGGACAATGATGCTTTAATATTTCCTGTGCTGTTTCGTTCATTTACAGCAACTACTTCATGCCTGGGTTTTACGGTTTGGAATCACAAACACAATAATGTTAAATAGAAAACACAAAACAGTCATGTACTATGCTACGAAACACCTTTAGCATGATACTCCCTCCATTTTTAAACACATGATACCATTTATTTTTTTTTTTCTCAGACTTTGACCGACAATATTTATTCAATTACTCAGTAGCTAAGGAAAGTGAAAAAAGTGTCACTAGATCTGTCATCCAAATCACTTTAAGCATGCCTTGTACGTTTGTCTATTTGCACAAATATTTAAAGGAAAGACGAATACTCCAGAAGTCAAATGGATGTAAAAAGTCAACGGTACCATTTAAAAACGGAGGGAATAATTGGTTCTTCCTTTTGTTAAGAAACAACTAGGTTTCTCTTTTATTACAAAGTAAAAGAATAAACCGAAACTTCAGCATAAATGTGGAAAATCTCTACCTTTTTCAATGACTTCTTCTTTGATTTAGAGCATGGTTCCATCAAGAAGTCTGCATCCTTTGAAGCATCTAAATCAACTTCATTGCCGTCATAAATAAAACCATCAACGAGCGGTGGATCTAGAAAAAAATTTAGGGGGGGCTGAACAACACATACCTTCGATTGCTGCTCGATCTTAAGTCTCAGTCCCACCTACACTATAGAACTTTGTCTAAAAATTCATGGGGGCTCCAGAGGGGTTCCACTGCTCCGGTATGGGTAGGGGGGCTCGAGCCCCCCCCCCCCGCCCCACCGTTGGATCCACCCCTGCCATCAACTCTATACTCAATAAAAAATCAGTGAAAACAGATTCAGGTACAGTATATGGATGTTCGAAAGATTGCTAAGAATGTTGTCTTCTTGCAACAAAATAAATTAAAAGGAAAGATTTGTGACATCCAAAGATGAACTCGTACAAAGTGCTCTTGACATCCTACATGATGGCTAAATGGTGCTTCCTTTGATCATCTTATTATTTCAAATGTGGAAACTTTTCTCAATGACAAAGTTATGATATAGAAACAGAAAATATCATTCACCTTGGTGGCTTTATTTTTCTCTGTCCAGGACCCCTGAAATAAAGAGATTCTTGCAATTCACAAGTAGATCCTAAAACCTCTGTCTCCCCAGTATTTGTATTCTTCTGATTATAAAAATCATACTTTTAGCCACATATTTAGATAAAAGTATGATGACATGCTAGAGTAGAAGTTCATACCGGAGAAGTCAAATGAGAACCATTATCCTCTCTGAAGTTTATAGTTTTATAGTAGTTAAACAGCAACTATGATATATCTGTGACCTAGGCCAGGTGAAATGTTAATAAGCACCAAAATATCCGTGACCTAGAACTGGTGATCACTGATCATTCCTAACAAACAAATGCAATGAAAGACAAAAGCATAGTCTAGAAATTAATAACAGACAACTAAGAGCAAACAAAAGCTAGTCCTAGAACCAAGGAGTCAAGAACAAACTTAAATTGCAAGTTCTATTCTGATTAGAAGTTAATTCCGCCCATGGTGGGGCGCCTTTGGTGTCCTAGCATAGTAGGTCCCAAGCCCTGGTAAAGGAGGAGGGTTGTGTTAGGCGCAGCAAGCCAATGTAAAAACTTAGCCACTTTAATGGAGATGAAACCCAAAAGAATCCTGTTGGGGTGTAACCCTCTTAGCGACGCGCCATGTCGGAACCCGGGTATGGTGTTAAATGGAAGGGGCAGAATGCGAAGGAGGTGGACAATACCGGCTTCAAGCTCTGATACACAGGGACAACTTCAAATAAAAATAGAGTAGGAGTTTTGATTGATAAGAGCCTCAAGGATGGTGTGGTGGAGGTGAGAAGGCAAGGGGATAGGATCATCTTAGTTAAACTTGTCATTAATGATATGGTCTTAAACGTAATTAGTGCGTATGCCCCCCAAGTAGGCCATGACGAGAGTGCTAAGCGGCTTTTTTAGGAAGACTTAGATCGCTTGGTTAGAGCTGTCCCCAGTAGCGAGAAGCTCTTTATAGGAGGTGATCTTAATGGTCATGTAGGTATATCAAGTGCAGGTTTCGAGGCGGTTCATGGGGGTTTCGGATATGGTAATAGGAACCAGGATGGAGAGGAAGTCTTAGACTTCGCCATAGCTTTTGATCTGATGATAGCTAACACTTTCTTCCATAAGAGACAGTCCCATTTAGTGACCTTTAGTAGTGGCCAGTACTCTAGTCAAATCGACTTTATTCTTTCAAGGAGGGATAAATGAACACGCGTGGACTGTAAGGTGATACCTGGAGAATGTGTGGTCGCTCAACACAAGCTGGTGGTGGCTGACTTCCGCTTTCTGGTGCAAGCATGTGGGAACAAACAAGCTAGGGTTGCTAGAATGAAGTGGTGGAAATTAGAAGGGGAGGCATCAAAGGTCTTTAAGGAAAAGGTCATTGAAGAGGGCCCTTGGAATGTTGAAGGCGATGCAAACAACATGTGGGAGAAGATGGCAACATGCGTTCGGAAGGTTGCTTCAGAGGTGTTTGGAGTGACCAAAGGGAGCGAATGCGACTCAAAAGACACTTGGTGGTGGAATGAAGATGTGCAAAAGGCTATTAAGGAAAAGAAGGAGTGCTATAAGCGCTTGTATCATGACAGGTGTGCAAACAACATAGAGAAGTACAAGGTGGCAAAGAAGACTGCAAAATAAGCGGTGAGTGAGGCAAAGGGGCGGGCCTATGAGGACCTTTACCGACGTTTGAGTACAAAGGAAGGAGAGAAGGACATTTATAGGATGGCTAGGGCTCGCGATAGGAAGACAAGGGACTTCAACGAAATCAAGTGCATAAAGGATGAGAGGGAGCAGCTCTTGGTGAAGGAGGATGAGATCAGACATAGATGGCAAGAGTATTTTGATAAATTGTTCAATGGTGAGAATGAGAACACCACCGCTCAGCTGGACGACTCATTTGATGACACTAACAGGCACTTTGTGCGGAGGATTCAAGAATCGGAGGTCAGAGAAGCCTTGAAAAGGATGAAAGGGGGCAAAGCGATGGGCCCTGATGGTATCTCAATTAAGGTATGGAGATGTCATATAGCTATAGTATGGCTAACCAAGATGTTCAACAATATCTTTCGATCGAACAAGATGTCTAAGGAGTGGAGAATAAGCATATTGGTACCAATCTACAAGAACAAGGGAGATGTCCAAAGTTATACTAATTATCGGGGTTAGACGGAGAGGCAATCAAGGTCGTAGCCTGGTAATGAGGAGCCATGGCACTAATGCCCAAGCATATCTAGCAGTATAATTAATATAGAACTCTGCAAAAGCAAGGGCAACAGTGGACTTGTTTGGTGCTTCAAAATGTAAATAGGATCTAATTGTTGTGATAAAACATCAAACAACAATAAGAGCCAGAACATGGCATTGTAGACATCAAAGTATCAAACAATAAGTTGAAGTAAAAAATATAAAAACAACAATTTCATTCAAAATCACACCTTAACAGACACAACAAGTACTATTCTTCAATTCCGCCAATGGTCATGGCCTTGTAATTGTAGGTTGTAAAAACTGTGATATCAGATTACTCGTTTTGTTCTAGTGGCTATGTTATGCGATTGTCCTTGTTTTAGTGGCTTCAAGGTTTTGCGCCCCATATTTAATGAAATTTCAGCTGTATCTGATGAGCTAAATATTCATCTCACCCTGATAAAAACTAAAACTGCACATTGCACACAGTGAGGATATCGTAACTGAACTGACAACATAAACACTAGGGGCGGACCCAGCAAAGGATATCGTGACTGAACTAGACAAAATAAACACCAGGGGTGGACCCAGCAAAGGGACATGTATGTAGTATGTACTTATGTCCAGTCGAACAATGGAGGACCCAGGCAATCTAGTAAAGGGACATGGGTGTACACATGTACGCCCAATAATTTTTGCAAAAAGTTAGAAGTTAGTAGACATCAAATAGCCAAATAGCTTGAGGTTAGAGTTTGAGAACTCATTTTTTTTAAAAATGAGAACTCGGTTTCGCACGGCAGACAGGAAAGAGAAAAGGGGTGGGAATACCTGGTGGGCCCTGGCCTCACCACCTGGGGTAGGGCGGTGATGGCGGTAGCCCACCCAGTCATCGTAGACGGAGAGGGAGGGAGGGAAAGAGCGAGCGCATGTGGTGTCGGCGGCGAACGGAAGAAGGAACGGAGGGAGGGAAGCGAGGGAGGTGGTGTCGGCGGCGAACGAAAGAAGGAAGGGCGGGAGGGGGACGAAGGTTGGGAACTTGGTCGAGATGTTTTTTTTAAGTTTTAATTTTAATTTTCTATACTCCGCTTTAGTTTTTTTATATATACTAGCAGAAATGTCGGTGTGTTGTTAATGGACGTATAATTTGTAGTCACCTAAACGACGTGAAACTCAGAAGGTTTATTCAACTATTGCATCATGTGTTTTTATTCATCTTGGTACTAAACTCTATAACATGTCCTGACACGCTCTACTTGTATTCATATAGGCAAAGGGCGCTTGAAGATTTATCCATTTTTTGGGTTATGCGTTTCAATTTATATTAGGATTGAACTTCCCATCGTATCTTGACACACTGCTCTAACTCGTAAAAGTATGGGAGAGAGCAAATGATTAAAACTCCATACCTTGATATTAGTATGTACTACATTTTTTAGACAATATAGTTCATATTTGGAAATTCATCCAAAACATTTTCTT